TTGTGAATTTGTGTTGTGCATGTTGTTGACCGACTGGTGACTGGTGATTCTGGACACTTGGACTGCCTGAGGACTTGGTGGTATACTTACTGTTTTTCAACAGTAGTTTGGTAAGATTATTCCAAACTCTCCGTAAGGTTAAGTTTGGTACTTTTACCATCTTATGCTTGTCACGTTTATCTGTATTATATACCTGTGCATTGTGTCTGCAATAGGCTGAATATTCCCAACACAACTGATGCGAACTAATATACTTGATGTAAATGCAGTGGTATTGCAGTATCAAATATTAATGGTCATGAAGTATGCAGAAAATATTGTGAAGGTAAAGGCTATTTACATGGTATCTGATGCATTTATTCCAAGTATGCATCAGTTTATTAGCTTACTGTTAGGTGGTGATTTGTACTCTTATTGGGTGGACCATTGGCCAATTCTCATGGGGAGAGATTTGGAGTATGTTTGGGAACTGTGTATAAACATGTTTGTAAAACCATTTTTTATACAAAACCATTCAAATGGAACATTGAAAGATTTGTAACTTGACTATCTTGATTTGTATCTTCTACTCAATCATATTGCATTTGGATAATAGATACAGGATCTAGAGTTGCCAAATGTACCGTCAATATTGAGTGTCTAACGTTAAAATTATGTCTCTAACTGCTGACTTTGCTGTTGCTTGTGTCTGTGATGGTTAACTGCACGAAAACAATGGACAGATTAGTTGGACTAACTATTCTTGTAATTTAGTTTTATTTTATGCCGGTTTGAATTTTAAAAATTAAGGAATTAAAGGGAATTTTATGTACATTGTTAGTTTTTATATTAAAATTTGAATGTTAACATTATTTATTTATCTTTTTGAAATTTAACTTAATATATTTAGTCCTCAATGATTCAATTTATACACATGCCCCCAACTGAGGCTTAGTATGCTGCCATTAAAGCTCTAGGCCAGCCTTTTCCGTGTGCACTTTTGAATGGCCCGACCATCTCAAGGGTCCACTAGAACATGGCCATGCAGCTTCCTGATAGGTTTACATATATTTTTTTTCCTCCTTCCTTGTGAAGGGTACTCCATTTGTGGAAGATC